ATGAACGATGTCCTTGCAGGATCAGTGAGGGTGTGCTTTATTTTTTGTTTTTAATGAAAACCCACCTAACTGCTCACAAAGGCTTCTAAAGGTCCAGAAAACCCCGATTCTGATGGTGGTAAATCAGGTTTTACAGAAAAGTGTTGCACTCTTAAAACCAAATTTTCCAAAGTAGTCATATATTTTGGGTGCCCAACCTGAAATACATAGGATCTAGTTTTCTGAATGGTTGAGCACCCACAATTCTAATTCATGCCATTAGGGACTGCCATTGCTCAGCAACCCTGAACATTAATCTGTAAGGTGACTGTGTTCTGCTCAGATGGCTCAGCATCTGTATACTCTGTTCTGGGGAAGTCAACTGGCTGTATGCTCTGCCTGAAGCTGAACTAAAAAGCGGCTATACATGTTGCCAGCATGTGCATGATGGGACGTGCACAGAGGGTGGCCTTTGCGGCAGTAAAGGGCACGGTGCATTGTGCACCTGAATGAGCAGGATAAAAGGAATCTTTTTATTTGTTTGTTTCGGAAATGCCCTGTAGTCAAATTGGTTTGAACATTCAGCAATTTCTAATGAGGTTCATCCACTTCATTTACTTTTTTTTAAAAAAGAATTATATTATGACATTATTTGGTCATGTATGCCTTAATTTTGCATTCACAGAATGTGATCTATTTCTAACCTGTTGCTTAAAGTTTTCTCTTCCCTTCTCATTTCCCTCTTCCTCCTCCTTTCCCTCTCCCACTTAAGCTGCCCTAATGTAGAGACAGCACTGAGAGAGAGTTTGACTTTGTATTGTTTGCAAATTCGAGGTTACTGATTGCTACAACGAACACTTTAAAGACTTTTTCTCCTGAGTCTATGAACGCTTGAGAGAGACAGTTCTAAAGGCCTGATCCTGCACCATTGGTCAGTCAATGAGAGTTTTATTATTGACTTTAATAGAAGCAATCTGCACCCTGAAAACTCAAACAACACTGGCTCTTGTCTCAGGCCTGGTCTACACTAGGGTGGTGGTGGGGATCGATCTAAGTTACACAACTTCAGCTATGTGAATAATGTAACTGAAGTCAACGTACTTAGATCTACTTACCGCAGTGTCTTCACTGTGGTAAGTCGACTACTGACGCTCCCCTGTCCTGCACCTCTCACTCCGGTGGAGTACCGAAGTCAATGGGAGAGTGCTCGGCGGTCGATTTATCGCATCTTCAGTAGACACGATAAATCAACCCCCCTGCTGGATCGATCGCTCCGGAAGTAAGTGTAGACATGCCCTCATTAAGAGAAAACAGTGGCAGACTTCAAACTAAGGGCCTAATCCTGAAAGGTGCTGAGTGTCTCAGCTCCCATTGACTTAATTTACCTAAAAGGGCCTTAAATTTATAATTTTTTGGCGGTACCTCATACCCACCTGGAGATGAATACTAAATGTTTTTTGAAGAGTCAGTGGTTGAACTGACCAGCCTATTAGCTGCGTCAAACTAGCTCAGAGGAGTTTCAGGAGTTCCACTCAGTAAGAGACAGACAGACATAAACAATTCAAAATAATTCACATTAGCAGTAATGTATAGTTATGTTCTTACCAGTTAGATGAAAGGTGAAAAGCATTAGACTGAACTCTTAGTGAGTCAGAACTTAAAAACTTTACTTAATGATCTTAAAGGTTTTAACTACTTCTACAGTATAAAATATTTAGGATACTATCTTGCAGATACCAGTTTTTAATTGTAAATGCATCAGTATTATTTAGTTACTGTCACACCGAGGAGTTGACAGAAGTTGCTTACAGAACAGTTCCAACAGAATGTACACCATTAGTAATCTTTCACTTTCCCATCTCTAAGTACGTTTGGCACAGATCTTTATTAAAAAGGAATGAACCTTTTGAGAATTTGTACATAATGGGAATTTCAGTTGGGAGTGAAATTAAGAAGGGCTTTTTGGATCTTTTTGAAGAATCTGTCCCAGCATTATAGAAATCATACAAAAGTGACGGTAATTAGCAGATTCATGCAGTGACATGATTTATCTAGAATTGATTGGGGAGGCAGGAGATTTAAAGTACTGTTATTTAGAGATGGAAAACTAGTTAGATATTATTTATTTTGTTGCAGGAGGGGAAATAGGGGCATCATGCAGTTTTTCTTAGAAATTATATTTCATACAAGTAATGGGCTAGTCTTAGTTATAATGGACTATTGCCTTTTCACATTGAGTGTTGTAATGCTTTCTACCATAATACTATGTTTAAATAAAGAACTATATGTTTGAAGACTGTTAATCAAATGTCCTCAATACATTCCTCAGGCAATTAATCAAAATAACAAGTATTACTGATTTTGGAAAGTGGGAAAAAAAGATAAATATGACACTTCTGACTTCATCATAATGAGATCTTTCCCTAAAATAGGCTATACCCAATTTAAATACATTTGTATTAAAATAAAAGTCAGTACAGGTAAGGAGAAATAATTCATACTAGCAATAAATGATAAAATGGGGGAAGGAGCAGAGCAAAGAGCTGTAGAGGTATAAATTCAGTGGGCCAACTTCTTCAGTGTAAATTCAGTGAAGTTTTTCCAGATTTATGCCACTGTAAATGAGAACAGAATTGGCTTAAGAAAGTGCAAAATAAAGTGTTTCCCCTTAAAATTAAGAAAAGGCTGACTACAGGGAACACAGGTGTTAAGGCATTGATTGACGCTATAATTTTCATCAGGCTTACTGCAGTTTATAGTACAGATGGTACTGTGGGTATTGCTGAAACAGTAATTCATGGTTTCTGTTTCCTTCCTTCTCTATTAGATTCAAAAGAGCTGAATAGTCTAAGGGTGGAATTTGTCCATTTCCAATTACAGCCTTTATCAAATAAACAGTTTTCTATTGCATATGAAATATTTCCATATAACTGAGTTGTCTGTGGTTGTTTCCTTGTCAAATTGTTGTGAACTCTCTTGTTCTTTGACTAAACGAGCAGTTTCTGGGACTCTGTTACTGGACTCTGCGCTAAGCAGTCTGGTCTATTTTTTTACTTCAGTGAATATTTCTCCTTTGTACATTTGGTAATTACATTGTTTAACTTACTAAATCATTCATTAAATTAAATCTGTTGGACATAATGATTAGGGAACACCGTTACCTCTGTGTTTTGTTAAATGATCATTTGGGGGAGGGTTGGGGGGGCAGAGGATAGAAGGCCACAGGTATGGCGAAAAAGTTGCAAGGGATTAAGGCAGTGGAATCCAAACTTTTATTTAAGAAAATTAAACTTCCAATTGTTTTGGTTGCTAGGATTCTTTTCACTCTGCAAATCAATATTGCATTTTCTTGTCAGCTGTGCAGCCAGCCAGACTGAAAGCATCAACTGAGGTGTGAATGCTGTCTGTTCATTATAATAGGGATCATCTTGAAAGCAAGGATGAGAGAGATTATTACTTAAATGCCAATGCTAATAATACAGGAGTACCCAATTTACCATTGAAATTAAATTTCAGTATATAAATTAAGTTGTTGGAGCAATCTGGAAAATGCCTACTGAACCAATTTTTTGCCAAAAAGCAGAACATTTTATAAGGAAAATGTTGAGACAATGTTTTACTTTTCCAGTCAGCCCTAATTCTTAGTCTATTGTGGGAAAAAGATCTTCTTAAAAAAAATTCATAACAGTAAATTTTGTAGTTTGTCTTTAAAGCCACATATAGGTGACAGTGTATCAGTGGTCACGGATGCAATAGTTTTCATTCTTCCATGTATACTGCCAAGCTAGAATATTGCAGGTTTTTTAACATTTCATAAAATAAAAACAAACCTCCGTCAACGGTTTATGCAGACTCCTTTTGATCTTTTGGACAGTTAATAATAATGCTTTTTTGGGGGGCTTTTTGTTTACTTGGGTGGGTTAATGTGTAGGATGTGTTAGTCTGACTTTATATATCTTAGAACTTAATTTGCGTATTTGATTTATTGACTGTAGAATAACGAAAATGTGATGTACACTTGGGACTTGATCCTGCAAACCTTTGTGCTTGAGTCTGTGCTTGCCTGCATAGTTCAGTTGCCTGCACTTGGATTATGCCTATGAGTAAAGATTACTCCTGTGAGTAACCGTTTACAGGATTGGGTCTATAGTCATATAAGAGAATGGAGTGTTTCTGCAGGATGCAGACATAAAACATAATATCATATTAAAGTCTGATTTTGCAACATTCTGAGCACCTCCTAAAAAGTGCTGAGTACTCTCAACTACTGGGAATTTAGGACCTTGCAGAATCAGCCCTAGAAGGTAATGAATTACCTCTAATTTTTAAAGCATCGTCACTTGCTAGATCGCCAATAATTAAAAGTCTTGAAACTAAGATCTGACAGTTCTTTCCTCTTTCTAGTTGACATTTGCACACAAGACGCAGAAGTGCCAAGGACTTGAATAGTTTGTATAAATTAAATTAGTTTATGGTTTTAAACAAGGTGTAACCTTATTACAAAGTTGTGCTCCCAGCAATATTTCAACACTGAGTACAATTTAAATGCCTCTTTGTAAACTACAATAAAAGATGTTCAAAAGTACAAATAAATTCTAGCATGCATGTGTGTACGCATGTCTTCTAATATATCGAATACACGTATAAACACACCATATAAAGAGAAACGCAGTAGCTCTACTTAATGTATTACAATACAGTTGGATTCTTTCCACAGTTTTAAATGCAGTCATTATTCTGTCCAGCCCATTTGGAAAAGTGTGCGTAATTCATAGCTCTCCCACTACCCCTTTAACATTAAATAAATGCCTCATCTGTTGCATCTGCAGGATTTTTTATTCTTTTTTTTTTTTTTAAAGAAGAAAAGTTTAGAAATTGTTTCAATAGTTATGGTAGCTTTGAGCAACAGGACACATCTTCTGAATCCAGTGTTTTAGGAAATAATTATTGATGCTGATGATTTTTTAACCAGAAATGGCCATTGGTTGCTAAAAGAAGCTTTCCTCCCACCTCTCTCTTACCTTATATGCATGGACTGTAGAATTCCCTGGTTTAGCTATTGCTCTGTGGTGTTGGGATTTCAGTTCTCCTAAGCATCAGAGATGTGAGCATTCCGGCAGTTACACCAAACAATGAGAGAGAGACTCCTTGCATGCCCCAAGCCTATGGAGCATTACGTCATTGCATTGCCATATAAGGAACTCCGTGTTGTGCAGACTCGTCGTGTCTGACTAGTGTACTTTAGTGATAGCCAGAACTTAGAAAGCTTATTAATGTGTTCTGGCTCCAGCTGACGCTCAGGACTGTGTGAAATATTTCATTTGTCTACCCAGTTCATGGCCAAAAAGAATGTGCGGAAGGCATGGGTAACGGCAGTTCCTCTTTATTATTGATAATAAAGTCATGGAAAGTCGTTAGCTGATTATTTTATAATGTTTTCCTCTTAGTTTCTTAGCCCAGCATTAGAAAAAACATGGGCATCTGACTTAATGAAGTTGCCTGGAAGGGGTTTGTCTTTTTTTTGTTTTTAAGATGACAAAAAATGTGAGTTTAGCTGAACTCCTCTGAGAGTGATATGAGCTTCAAGCCTTCTCCTTTTTACTTTCTGTAAAGAGTCAGGGTCCTCAGAGGATAGTATTTTATTTCCTGATGATGTAACTACAAAACAATTCTTCAAGTGATGATGGGAATGCCAGATGAAATCCTATTTTATTTTCTTCAATGTTTTTCCTACAAAACCCTTTTTTCCTTTTCACATGTTTGTGTTTCAGCTAAGGCAATTAGGAGTTTGACCAACTATTTTTAGTGAGAAGGTTTTAAAAGAAGCAAATCATTTGATTAAGGGACTGAGGGGACAAACAGGAAGATATAACTGTAAGACTTAAAATATATCTCTGATTTCCTCTCCTCCAGCCCCACCCCCCCAAAAAAACATTGGGGGACTATCTGCAATATGTAGGGATTTGCTTGTTGAAGCCCCATTTAGGGTTAATGGGAGTTAACTGAATAAACCCCTACATATTGATATGAGAATTAGTCCATTAAGTACTTTTCTAAACTTATGTTCTGCTCTGCTAAATGGATTATGGATGCATCTGCTTCATTTGCACCCCTTGAAATGTTAGTCTTCAGATGAGTTGGTGTGTGTGTTTACTTGAATCTGTTAAAAAGCTCATAATAGAACATTTTTATTTAAATGTGAATAAGAAGGCCAATGTGATGGACAGTACTTGTGTTTAGATAGCGATATTGTTTCCAGGTGCTAGAACAAATAAATACCAAAAATATGTATTTTATGGAAAAGACAATGTAAGCATAATAAACACATGGGGTCAAACTTCTGTCCCTCAAAAGATGTTCATACTTTACTCAGAAATTTCAGTGGATCTCTTTGTACCACTACTGCAGCGGAACTTATTCCAAATTCTGTTGTGTGTGTGGACGTGGGTATGTATGGGTGTAATGGGTGTGTACATACGTGTGTGTGTGTGTGTGTGTGTATTGCATGAGAAGGGATCAGACCTGTACATCTTTCAAACCTAGTTGGCATTATAAATGCCCATATATAAATCCCTCCCAACCTGTATCTGGGAGACTGATATGCCTTATTATGAGAGAGACAAGGTGAGTGAGGTAATATCTTGTATTTTGTTGGTGAGAGAGACAAGTGTTCGAGCCTTGTTATGGTTTGCTAGTCCTATGGACAGAACGACATAATTTATTTAGCACTATATGTAGATAACTGTCCATTGGCTGAAATTGGTGTTCAGATCCCTTAGCTAACATATGTTTGACCAGGAAATAATACTTTACACTTGTACAAGTACCTTTCATCAGAGTGCTTTACAAATGTTAATTAACCGTCACAATACCACATTGAGGTGCTGTAGCTCACTTCACTTTCCACTGAAAAGCCACCTCCTTAGTGTGGGTCTCGGCAGCTGTTTAACAGAGCATAGCAGCACTACATAACATTTTAAGATAGGAAATGTAAGCATTTCTTTCCCTCGTCCTTCCCCACTCTGTTTTCTTCTGTGTCCCTCTCTCCATGCTTCATGCCTGCTCTCCAATGATTGATCCTATCTTCATGTTAAGTTTACCTAGGTTCCAAGTGCCCTTCCACATAATATGATCTGTTAGAATTGTGTGTGCAAAACTTTGAGGGGTAGAATGTCCCAGCATCCTTATAAAACAAAAGGACCATCCTTCCCAATCTGGCTCTGTTTTGATGCTGCTACAGGAACACCCGGCTGTTAAGGAACAAAGCCCAGACAGTGCTCATTGTAAGCTTGTGACATCCTCCTGTGTGGGGGCAGGGAGGGAAATGCAAATCCCCCTGTTTATAAATCCGTGTTTACAGCAGGGATGGCCAAAGTATGACCTCGTAGTGTTCCTAATTAATCCTGCTCTGCAATAAAAATGTTCACATCTGTAGCCTGTTGCAAAGCAGCTTTGCCACAGTGCATCTGCCAAGTATGTAATTACCTGTTTCCACTTGCTTCTTCTATAATGTCACAGTTTAATAATGGCGGGGATAGACGACTATTCCAAGTACTAAGTTGAAATAGTGAAGAATTTTGTGTCAGGAAATATGTAATAAGAATTTCAACTCACTGATTACAAAAATTAGTCTCAGTGTAATAGGTTGCCGAAGAGCCTTCCTTGGTGCTTGTTACACCTCTAGCCCAGAGTCTTTGGGTGAAATCCTGCCCTTATTGAATTCTCTTTGACTTCAATAGAGCCAGGAATTCACCCTCAGTCAGGATATGTCTGCACTGTAGCGTGGGTTGACTGACCTTGCGTGCTAAAAACAGTAGCATGGACATTGCAGCATGAGTGGGAACACAGGCTACCCACCCTCGTACTGACCCCGGGGGTGAAGCGGGTTTGTACTTGTTGGCTAGCCCATGCTGTAATGTCCACACTGCTATTTTTAGTGCAATAGCGTGAGCAGAGCTAGCGCTTGTCTGCCTACCTGGGCTGGGAGTCACACTCTCAGCTACAATGTAGACCTACCCTCAATGACAACCGTGCACCTTGTACAGGTCAGTACTCGTTTGTTTACCCCTAATCAATCAGTGATTCCGTGTTGTCATTATACTGATTTGCAGTGTTTCTATCATAACGAATGCACATACCTAACGTTGTATGCTGCCCATGAGCCTTCAGTTTTGTAGCTCAGAGTGGCTTAAACCCAAACTGTGGCCACTTCAAAGACTCCATAGACCCCGCTGCTGAAGCTGAGGTTTTCTGGTTTCAGTGAAGATGCTGAAGTTGTCAGGATGCTGGAGTGTCCTGTTCTTTTAAATTAATTTTATATGCAAACCAATGGAAACACTTTAAAAAAAATATTTATATTTTAAAACTCTGTGTGCATCCGCCAGAAATGATTGATTATGCTCACATGTTTCTGTGGTATCAGGGCACAATCCTGCAAGATGCTGTCTATCATATTTGTATCAAGTATCAGGGGGTAGCCGTGTTAGTCTGTATCCACAAAAACAACAAGGAGTCCGGTGGCACCTTAAAGACTAACAGATTTATTTGGGCATAAGCTTTCGTGGGTAAAAAACCTTATGCCCAAATAAATCTGTTAGTCTTTAAGGTGCCACCGGACTCCTTGTTATCATATACACCTCTACCCCGATATAACGCGACCCGATATAACACGAATTCGGATATAACGCGGTAAAGCAGCGCTCCTGGCGGGCAGGGCTGCGCACTCCAGTGGATCAAAGCAAGTTCGATATAACGCGGTTTCACCTATAATGCGGTAAGATTTTTTGACTCCCGAGGACAGTGTTATATCGAGGTAGAGGTGTATGTATGTTAGTACTGAATATAGAGACAGTCCTCTTGGCATTAATGAGTGTTTTAGTCATGCATCATCTTCCAGGAGCTTCTTATAGGTTTGTGTCCTTACAGAGTTTACTGATATTTCAGTACCCAACACCTTGTTTTATGCTAATCCTTTGCTATTTTAAGGTTGCTAAGTGACTTTAGTGTTGTTGTTATTTATTACTTGTACTACAGTAGCACGTAGGAGCCCCAGTCATGGGCAGGACCCTATTGTGCTAGGCAGCGTACCAACAGAGCAAAAAGATAGTCCCTGCCCCAAAGAATGTACAATCTACATAAATTCCTACATTGCTGCCAGTTCAGATTTTAGCAGGGGGAGTGAAGCGAACTTCATTCTACAAAATGATTGGTCCGACTTTGTACTCACCGTGTGTTAAAAGATGCAGTCCTTGTGAGTGAAACTCTCTGCATCCTTGGGAGTACTGCAGAGCATTAAGGTCTGACCACCATTCTCTCCCATAAAAGAATTAGATAAGAGAGGGGAAAGCCTATCATTTAGGTCATGTTGCTTCTCTGTCTCCCTGAAAACAAGCTCTGTTTCCTTAGTGACTAATCATAGTTTTCAAAATTGTTGTTGCACTTGCAAGTATTATGGCAGGATAGAAAAACCAAAGAATCATAGAAATTAGAGACAAAAAGAAAACCCTATTAAGTCATCTAGCCTGTCTTATGCCAGAACAGGACTGCTCCCTGTAGTGTGTTCTCGAATGCATTTTGTTGTTGGCTGATTACTCTTTACATTAATGTTACTATGTAAATTGTGATAGTGTCCACTCTGTGGAAGAGCTTACTTGAAGAGAAGGTCCCTACTTTGAAGAGCTAAAAAGACACAACCATTCTAGCATTTGATTCTCTTTCCTTTGCAGTTCACATCGAAGATAAAAAAGAACCTCAGTTCAGCAAAGCATTTAAACATATGCTTGTGTGTTTTGCTGAATAGGATGGACTTAAGCACCTACTTAAGTTTTATCATGTGTTTTAATGCTTGGCTGAAATAGGTCCTCAGTCAGCTAGTTTCATGTTGGTGTTGCCTGAATAATTCTTTTTTACTTTTAAAAGGATACTACCAAGTAGTTTAGGTCCAAAATTTGGATGATAACAAATAGCCACAGAAATTGAAAAATTGTCAATTTTTTCGATTAAAATTGTAAATACTTTTGAGACCATTTGTTCTTCTGGAGAACAGTGGTTGTGTAATCGGATATAAATATTTGCACATAGTGTTGGAAAATCAAAGGTAACAGAAAGCAGTG